AAAAAGGAAGTGGTTTGACTCAGCACCTTCAGCAAAAGGGTCAAAGATGGCAGTCACTCCAAAGGCGCAAAGGCTCAATGAAACCAAGGACCAGAGACTCATTTCCTTTCTCACCGATGCTTCACTGTAGCACTTTATTCTTGGCTTGGGCCACTATAACGGGTGGACTGATCAGAAGTCCATGACATTTTCTTTGTCTTGCGCATCACAGTTGGTTTTCCCAGTCCTGCACGTTTCTTCAGCTCCCACGGGCAGAAGAAGCAAATATTTCCGTGGATTTCTGCACTCATGACACTGATGAACAATCGTTTATATTCTAATGCAGGAAAAGACAAGAGAAATGGCTGTAAATTGATTGGCTGAGTTTCATTACCGGTACTTGCTTCTGACGCATTGATTTCAAGAGAAAAATTTGCAAATTTTTTAGGATCATTGGCCGTGTGTGATTCTGTCCAACTGATGAAATTCCATTTCTAAAGTTAAAATTACAAACTTCGCGTAGCCTAAATTCAAGATTTATTCAAAATTGCAGTAAAAGCAGCATCTCATTGAAGGCACACTTTTCCTCGAATATGCTGTAGTTTTTACTCTATGAAAAAATGCATAAATTATCACATGCAGCACTAGGAAAGTACAGTATTTAAAGATGAACATTTTCTAGAATACATTGGAGCATGATTTTCGAGGTGCCTCTAGTCAGAAATCTTCTTTATTTTAATTTCCAGTTAATCCCTGCTGAAGTCCAATGAGATTTAACCCTCCAAAACATAGCATGCTTGAGTCAAATAACATTTATCAGTCAAAATGTTTGTGCACTTTTTGACAATACACCTTGGCTAAATTTGTAGAACACCTATTGCAGAAAAATTATAATTGCTTTCTTTGTGCTCTTCACAATGCCAGTAGGAAGTCTTTGACTAACTGGCAATTCAAATAATTTTGCCATAAAAATATTTCTAGCAATTGAAACATTTGAACAAATGAAAATATTTTCATAAACTCCAACTTGGTATTTTTTACTCCTTCAAATTATCTAGGTGAGGTGTAACTGTAGTAAACTGTTCATTATATTGAATTCTTCAATAAGGTTTGGGTTTTTTTGTAGTAAAAAAAAATAAATTTGATGAATCACATGCATATCATCCAGTTTTATAAACATGTGATCATTCAAACAGCTTGAGGACATATGGCAACTTTACTTTATGGATGACTGGAGTGGAAACAATCATTTGAGAAGCTCGGAATATTCAGATCTGTTTTTCAAAAATGCTAAAATTTAAAGCAGAGAGCATGTGCATTTTTATATTTTTACTCTCCCCCTCAAACTATGTTTAGCTCAAGTATAAAAAGCTATACCATACTCAACTTCCAAATGGAGTGGAATTTGGGGGAGAAACGAACCAGGAAGTGTGCATGGTATTATATTGTATAGCATAACCTCCTGTGAACCGCACCCACATACAGTGTTGGGGGCAAAGCCAGCATGAGGAAGAAAAACTCCCCCCTATAGTGCTTGTGCAGAAACTCCCTTCTTATTTTCCCTTGTCCCATGGCAAGGAGTGGAAAGCGGGTCAACAAGGAAGCTTCCCCCATCAGCTGAGGGGGGTGCCTAGGGAGAGGGGGCATTCTCTCTCTCTCTCTCTCTCTCTCTCTCTCTCTCTCTTTCTCTCTCTGTATACAACAAAATTCAAGGGACTGGAAAAATTCATTGTATAGATAATTTTGTTGAAGAAAACCCATAGGGAGAGAGCCCTCAGGGACTAAAAAAAAATTGTTATACTGTACCAAGAAAGTTGTTGCAGATAAAATGCAATCATCCAGAGAGTTTCTGAGGCAGCATATTAATTGGACTAGCTTTTCATTTTAAAGCTTAATTTCTACTCAAGTACAGTGCACAACTATTTCTATTAGAAGTTTTCAAGAAAAACATTCAGGTAGCATTGCATTGAAATAAAATTTAATTGCGGGAAATGTTTGCAAAATTTTTCTTGTAGAAAAACAATGCTGCATGACTTGAAAGAGAGGGAGAACATGGAACCCAATTTTAATTGCACTGTATACCTTTTTTTAAATTATGAACTGGTCCTATTCTTTCTGCTTTACTAAAAGGTATGCTAATAAGTCATTGGATATACAGTACTGTACACCTTTCTAGATTATGATATTAGACTAAGCCATATCCAAAATTAAGCCCTTTTTCTTATCCCATCCACTAATGCTTGTGATGACCTTCCCATGGATTTCTCAAGTCTTTCTTTTTTCAGTTATTCCTTATGATAACTTTCCCAATGAGTTGCCTTAGTTTTTGGCTTCAAAATCCTGAAAAAAGTTCTCTGCTTCTTAAGTTTTCAATTCAAAAGTGAATCTAGTAAATTATTCCCTTTTACTGTTCCTCATATCATCTGAAACAAATAAAATGTCTCGATAAGGTATTCTCTTATTCTTTCAAGGAAGGACTATTATTATTATAGGCTAGTCTTATCCACAGGTAAACACAGTAGAAGCAAATTTTTTAAAATTCACAGAATTTTTTATTTTTTTTATTTGAGCCTCTCTTTTCTCGTAGTTTTTGTGATTAAATGTTAATGTTTTATTTTTTTAGCTTGAATGCATCAATTGTTTGCAGATAAATCATGTTAACCTAAAGTTTCCAATGCATTTTAATTGTGCTGAAATAAAAGAAAACCAAACCAAAAAGGAAGATGGTCTTTTTCAGGAAAAATGAGGCTGTCCCACTCAGAGCAACAATTGGTTTCCAACAGTGTATGTAGAAGTAGGCGCCTCCACAAGGGGAAAGACTGACAGGGTTTCTGGCACAGGCACATGGGGGTGATGCAGAGGGGGTGTCCCTCCTTGCCTGTGAGCCAGGGAATTGCAGTGGGGGTTATGGGGGGGGGGGGAAGCAGGGCAAACTTTGTGTGTGTCTTAGCTGCTCCTTGCCAATGCCCTGCATTCCTTGCTGGTGATACAGTGTGAATCTTTGTCTTCCTGCAGGCTATATTTCTTATAATTCAACTTTGAAATGTTTACCCAAAAAATGAAATAAATTTTGGAAACTCTATAGCTTCCTGATTTATGGGTATAAGCTTTTCCAGTTCATTGGATTTATGTGCCTCCATTATAGTTATTTTTAATCTCAATATGGCAAACTTCATTATAAATGAATTTTTTACTTGGGACAATTTCTCAACATCCCAGCATATGTTACCTAAGCCTTCGTGCAATTTATTGTAAAATGTGTCAAGTCTCAGTGGCTTTTTTAACCATATTCTACTTAGAAGATATTGAAATACTTTAGGGCAATTTTTCAAAACCCCAGCATATTAGCCAATTTGTTACATTAGTCTTCATGCAATTAATTGTAAAAATGTGTCAAGCCTCAGCAGTGGCTTTTTGAAACCAAATTCTACTCCAGAAGATACTGAAATACTTGATAGTATACAGTTTTAATCACACTGATGTTTTCCTGTTTCAGGCTGGGAAAGGGTTAAAAGTGCAAAAAAATGAGAGCAGAAGCTCTGGACCACCCAGTGATCATGAATGGCAAGTTTGAGTACCAGTCAACAGACCATGGGTCAAGATTCCAGACTGTCATCAGTCATCTGTTCACCAACTCATATATGGTTGATGTGACTCTGGCTTGTGTGGATGGTGTTTTAAAAGCTCATCAAGTTATCCTGGCAGCATTCAGTCCCTACTTCCAAGGAATATTTGGATCAAATCCTTGTCAACATCCAGTGGTATTGTTACACAATGTGCCCTTGAGTGTTGTTGGTGGACTAGTGAGGTTCATGTATGAAGGAGTCATGAGTTGCTCAATCTCAGAGCTACCAGGGATCCTGGATTTGGCAAGAAGTCTGCAAATCAGGGGACTGGAGAATTTACACAGTCAAGGATCAACAACCCATTCTCCAGCTTTTTGCCCTACCCAGGAGTTTTGCTTTGAAACTAATGGGTCAGCAAATCCAGAAAGGGCTGAAGCATTGCTTCAAGAAAGAAGTACAATGGGAAACACAAGTTATATCAGATCAAGTGGGCCCACCAATTCCCTGTGCCACAATGCAGAGATCCATAAGTCACCATCTTTACCTGTTCAGGGTCTCTACATTGAAACCTTAAATCCTGTTGGTACCCTGTCACAATCAGAGAAACAATCAAGCAGTAAAGCCTCTACTCCAGTCCCCAAGACAGTCAACTTGCAAGCTGCCTGGTCACCAAACTTCAGTCCAAGCCAAGGATTATGTGTTCAGAATACTTCACAACACACAGAAAAAGTTGCTGTCAACATGACAGCAAATAACAAGCCTCAATTGGAAGTAGATGGAAATGAATTATTAGTCACTGAGGAAAACAACTGTCTGGCACCTTTGAATCTTTCACCCAACAGACCAGCACAAAGCTCAAGTGAAACTCAAGCAGAAAATCCAAGTTACCCTGAGGAACTTGAGCCTGAGTCAATTCCTGAATTATCTGATCCTCCTCAACCTGTAAATGATGCTAAAAAGTCAATCAGAAAGGTTAAGAAAATCAAGAAAACCAAAACAGCCAAACAATCTCAAACAAAAAGTTTCCTAAGCAGGAGAAGAGGAAGACCAAAAGCAAGTGAGTTTTGTCTGAATGGCAGGGAAGAATTATGTTGAAATTATCATTCATGCTGCATCCATTGGAACATCCAAAAACTTTTATAAAACATTGCTTTCCAATATTTCAGTGAGTCAAGAAGTTGTGACATTTGTCTGCTTGGAAGAAGAAGGCAAAAGCAGGTACAATTCAATGTACAACAAAAAAGCCAGAGAACTTGGGCTGAAATCTGGATGGAATCTACTAGAGGACAGAGTGAGTCACTTACAATATTGTGCAATCAAATTATTTGCTTGCGATGCACCAACAATGGCTGAAGTTGGATTTTCAACAGAAAGTTGTATTAGGTTTGCTTTAGGGGACAAATGCAAGAAGTCGAATCTCACATTACAAAAAATGTCTCGATTACTTGGTATTGTACAGTACAGTATATATTTTATAAAGAAAAAGTCCCCTAGAATAGTGTTCCCAACCCATGGTCCTCAATGGCACTGGTCTACAAAAGTTTTTTTTGCCATTCTGAAGGAAATTTTCTTAACCAGAATACATTCATCAAAAGTAGCACTTATTTCTGTGATTTTATGTGAAATTTTGAAATGACAATGGCAGATGAAATCATCTGATAAAAATACAACTTTGCTCTTCTCCAAATAACACTTTAGACAATTCTTCACTGGCTGAAATGAATTAATGTATTTCAATTTTTCATTCTGACAAACTTTTCTTTAAGCCCACCTTTCTAATTTTTGAAGACCTTCCATTACAGCTGCTCCATTAATTCTTTACTTTTTTTTTGCTAAGAAGCTATATCTTTATAAATATGTGCCATAAAGTCTTTCAAACTAAAAATTTTTGAGTCTTCAAAAATTGCATTACACTTTGCCAGTCCATATATTTTTTTATGGGGGGGGGGGGGGGATTTGCTGGTCTGTGGGCCCAAAAGGGTTGGGGAACACTGCCGTATAATAGCCTACTGTTGTCAGATAAAAATGAATATTTGAGGGTGTGGAAAAATTAGTGTTTTACAGTTGAGGGTTTCAGATTCTATAGAGTATTCTTTACAAAGTGTCCTTTTTTCTGGCAGATAAGAAGAACTTTGAAAGGTAACAGCAAGGACAGGAGCAAAGGAGTGCTGGAGAAGAGTCGAATGGTGTTGAAGTTCTGCATTCCAGGGGACCTCATCAATCTTTCAGAAAATGGCACCTATGACTTTTACAATCCTGATACTGGACATAGAGGTCACATTCATGACCCAGCTTTTTCAGCAGACTGTAAAATCCTTACTCTGAAGGCACTGGTTCGCCAAACTCAGTTTGCACTCAAGGAAGAGCAACTTGCCTTCATCAAAGAAGGCAACATGGCTGCTGCCAGCTGCTATGGCAGAAGGGCTGTCACTGAAAGCCTGCAAATGTTGGCAACACTGCAGAAATCCTCTGATAGAGCTCCAGATTCATCCGAGGTGGTTTCCAAAAAGCCAAAACTGGATTCAGATTGATGATAATCCTTCTTCTTTCCACACTATACTGTGTGCAAAGAATTTTTTTTAGGAATTCTCCCATTTGTTTCCACTCATTGATTTTCATTCATTTTCCTTAAAATAATATACTTGATGGAAGTTTGATGTTCTTAACCCTGTAGTTCAACCCTCAAACTTCTGAAAAATGCAATTGCAAGTTTCAGAAGCATTTTATATGCACTGCTTTCATGTTGATGTCATCCATCAGTGTGTGTTAAATGGTTGTTTCATTTTGAGCACATTCTGAATGTGAAGACTGTGGGCTGCTCTAATACAGGTGTCTCCTAGCTCTGTGTATGAAAGAGCATTTCAGCTACAGCCTCCAATGTTGATGATGGTGGAGAATATCTCCTTAAAACTATACAATACAGTATACCTGAACCCATGAAGATAACTGACATGTGGTGATCCAAAAACATGTACAAATTTTAGAGCCAAAAATGTGAAACCGTCCCATTACCCAAAATAAAGTGGGGACGCATTTTAACCCTCAGTATATGCTTTAAAAACCACAGGGTTACCAAATGGATCATTTTGTTCATCGATGTTGCATTCAACAAAGCACTAGTTCAAAGAGTGATACAAGCTTTGTTGGGTGTTTGTCTAGACCGGTTATTGGCATCAAAATACTCGTTTTTTGTGTGTATGTGCACGAGGTTTGTTAATCAAAAAATTAAAAAGCTTTTCAATGCTGATGTTGAGTGTCATATTATGATTATGAAATATACACGTGTTTGCTGGTTTCCTTTTGATATTCGTTTATTCAACTTGTCCTTGTTTTTTCAAATGCATTTAGGAAATCTTGAGATGAAACTTTTTTTTTTTGATAATCCTAATTACACGAATTTATATGTCAGTTATACGTCAGTTTTAAAATGAATTACTGTACAGTACTAAAAACGTTGTACTTTGAACCTATTTTTTACAATGCATTATAATGTCAGCAATATCAACTCATATCAAGGAAAATTGTCTTCCCATTTTCGTGAATTTTTTATAATTCGGTTCATCAAACGTTTCATAACACTTCCCCATAAATTCATCCACCCAGAAATAGCTCATCATTGAATTTTTAAATCACGCGTACGACTCCTATGTGGAGCAAAGCTTGCATTATTATTTTCTATAACCTTCGTAGCGATAGATGTCGCCCGAAGCAGTGTAAGGCCCAGTGTAATCCTCTAAATTCGTCTGGTAGTCATCACCGAAACCGGAAGCAAATTCGTTCCTGTCTGAGTTCCCTGGGCGTCCGGAAGTGTCTACGAATTCCGCATCCGTTTCCGGTTTACCAAATCTCATATCCGGGTCGTTGAAATCGTCTGCCAGAGAAGTTGGACCTGAGGACGTCGAAGCTGTTCCCTGTTGTTTGAATCTCAAGTTTGGGGCAGATCCCAAGAAGGGTCCTTGCTGGTTGAACCCTTCGCGATGGGGTTCGGGTTCGTTTGAATAACCGTTTCGAACGAGGGAAAGCAGGGACCTGATTGGAGAGGTGAGTGTTGACTGTCTTCTTGATGATCTTCTATGCCTGCAGAATAAAAAAAAAGGTTATTACAATATTGAGAAAATATTAAATTTTATATTTCTAGTCCAAGTTTGAAGAGTGGACTCAGGGCCGGCGCGACCGTATGTGCAGGTTGTTCATCGCACAAAGGCGCCACAATTTGGGGGCGCCAAAATGGGCTTTGGGCCCTGAAAAATGTGCACCTTCTTTTGGGTATTAGTGCCCATTTTGAAGCAAATACATGGGTCTGTGGCGCCCATAGTTTGGCACCACCAAAGAAATAGGAGATGCAAACCTAGCAATGCAAAATTCTTGTTTGGGCGCCCCCTATATCTTAGTACCTTTTTAAAAACAAAAATCAGCAGGCCATTCAACGATTGTGCAAAGCAAAGAATGGCCTTACTTTTTTTCAAATGTTCTCATTCAAAAACAGGCAAATCAATGGTAGAAGTAATTCATTTTGAAACATCAGCAAAATTCAAATGCTTCACCTGGTGGAGTGACCCAAACCAACGTTTATTTGATGACCATGGAAACCATTTTTTCAGAAACCAGCAATGAATATAAAAATAGGGTGCTCATTGTAATTGGGTTTAAACTTTCAAAAAATATTTCTTATGCAAGTCATACATGAAAAATATGATTGGACAATTTTAGATATGATTCAAACAATACAATCAAGATTTCAAATGCATGAATTTTGAATTAGTCATAAATTACAAACAATTACTGTATAATGATTTCTTCCCCTTTCCTTGTATCCAGCATGTAGCTAAAATTCTGTAAACGCCTAAAAATTACCTGAAAATTTAATAAGTTTTCATGATGCAGAGAAGATTAATTTTGACAACTGTTTGCACAAATGCTGCACTGCTCAAATTAGCTCAATAGGAATTTGGACTCAAATCATTCATTTCATGAATGCTATATGATATGCCTTCTCAGCCCTGTAAAATAAAAATTCTCAGAACACTCCATTGAAAATAATGTGAAATTCAAATTTCCATCAGCTAAAATTAAAATGGACAGCTGTTGTATGATGGTTCCCAATATTTTGGTATGAATGCTCTCTTCTATACTAGGAATGGTAACTTTTTTCAAAGGTATGCAAAGGTACAGGGGACTGAAATCTTCATGGGTTTCTTTCTCAGGGGTACATTTGTGTACAATTTTCCTTCCAAAAATCCTGGTGCACACATTACAAGAGGGGATGTTCATTGTATCAATTTATACACTAAATCAGGTTGGATTATGTCTAATCCATGCTTCTAAAATTTCATATGCATGTGGATGACATTAAAAAAGTTTGCTATGCAATTATCATTGCTTTTTCACAAGTAATAATAGCACAAAATATTTTGTCAAACCATAATGATCACTGGCTTTAAATAATTTTTGCAGTGCAATACATTTTCAATGAAAGCAGTGTTCTATTTTTGGATTTAGTAAGGATACATCAAAATCTCAAAATGTAATCTTCTGATCCCTTGTTGGTGAAGAAAGTAATGCTTCTTTCAGAATCTTTTTCATGATCCTCAGGTGTCACTTAGAATAACTGTGAAACTTGTTTTCTCTCAGTTTCATTCACCAGCTGTGCCAAACTGCTAATACCTTAATGATTACAAGCAGAGCAGAAATAACCAGAAACATAACAAGTTCTACTCCTATCTGCAATTATATATCACTTTACTCCTATATCAGATATCTTATTCAAATTACTCAGTTCGAACAAGAGTCAGAAAATCTCATGCATGAATATCTTGACTGAAAATATACACAAGACCATGTTTTCTTATGCAGTTGCATCTTGTTGCAACAAATAGCTTGTTTTTTAAAAAAATTGCTTACAATGAAGATTTTTTGTGCACTGGCCAATAGCCCCAACATTAAATGAGTTGCTTTATGAAAAATATTCTAACAACAAAGCCATTTTACTGGCACCAGTGGCTTCATTGTAATGATATTCAATTCAAATTTCCACCATGACACTGGTTTAGTTCACTAAATAATAGTTTATACTCATTATCAAATAACAAAAAAGTGGAGCAAGTGCACAAACACTATTCTGGTTGAAAATGACACTAAACAAAATTAATTTCTAGCATTCAGGATCTGGACTTTTTTTCAAACCAAAAATCGTTTTTTTAGGAAGTGAATTGGTCCTCAGGATAATGATTATATGCTGAATACAGTATAAAAGAACTCGGACTGGAAGTTGAAAACAAAATTGTCAGATATTTCACTGGAAACTTATTAGTGAAATGACCAAAAGCCAAACACAATTTAAGCAATGCAGATTTTGTTGCAACAAACTTATAGAAAATGCAAAAACATTCTGTTGGAACAATTTTTATTCTATATTTTATTATGAAAAGGTTTCTGATTTCCAGCAGCCTTTTCATTGGAACCCTGGAATAAAATATACTTCTAACAAACTCATTGTTGCCTGCAATCTCAGTACATTTTAATCAATTTTTGCCTTGCTTATGCTGTGCATGGTATACAGTACAGCGTGTTTTAGTAGTGGAAAATTGAAACATTTTAAATTTTACAATCATTTCTATCAATCTCTTTCATCATAATGCTATTCAAGTGCAAAATTGAAATTATAAATAAAATAAAATTTTCATTCTTTTTTAAAAATTTTTAACACTGCTTTTTTTGAAGGGCGCCAAATTTGTTCTTGCACAAAGGCGCCACCCACCCCAGCGCCGGCCCTGAGTGGACTATTACCTTGATATTGTTCATGAGTTTTCCTTGAAAAACACTGAACGCCTGCTATTGTTCAGAAGAATTGAAACAAGTTCGGCAAATCTCACAAAATATTACTTGAAATAAACTCTGCGTAAGGGAAATGTACTCGTATATTCGAGGACTAAAATAGAATTATGAAGCCCCTGATAACCGTCCATATTTGATTACGATTTCCCGCCAAATTACTGTACGTCGAAACTTTCTTTCATCAACGATTAATCGATTATTTAATAAGAACGTCAATCAGACTCACTTCTTTTTATGTCCATGCCCATGTTTGTGAGCATTTTTGTTCTTTTCCTGGTGCTTCTCCTTGTGGTAATGATAATCTGGTTCATTCCTGATTTAGCAACACATTTTGAGGAAATGTTTTTCTTTAATAACATGACGTTTCCAGGAAAGAATTTTGAAGGATCAATTTTTTTACATTTTCCACTTTCTTTAATTTAGGAACGATGAAGTGGACTTATAATCAATTGTGAAAGGACTCAGACAAAAATAAATGATCTGCAGAAGAATAGCACATAAGAAAAATTGCTTCTGAATTGTCTCACCTTTTCAGAGATTCATTTGAGCTGTTTTTGAATTTTTTTATTAGAAAATTTGTCTTTAATGAGTTTCTTCGCGAATGAAGCATTCTTTCAGAATATATCCCCAGAAATGCTTCGAATCAGTCTTACTTTCAATTGCGAAAATGATTTTTGCAAATATTGTGACTCACTTTTTTGGCACAGGCGACGAATCTGCATTTTCCGAAATGAAACAGAATACGAACGTCAGAAGGAATATTTCCATCATCAACATCTGAAATTGAATGTTATTGATGGCAGCTTTTTAGTAGCCTCAATTTCAAAATATCACACTTATTACTTACGTTTGGCCATGTTTTCATTTTTGCTCGTGAAATTTCGTGTTGCACTGTTGAGAATCGGTGGAATACTGACGACAAAGATATTTTAAAACATTTACTTGAGCGAAATGTCGAGTGAAAGCAAAAAAGCGTCGTTTATTCAAGCAGTAAAAGCTAGCTCGTCTTTTACTCAAGTCAGCTCCGACTTATGCGAGTTGAAAGAGCGTACTAAAGGTGTGTAGAACTTACACAAAGCTTGGTAGTCTTCCTGTATAAAAGAAATTTTATTTTGAAAGATTTTTCTGTCTGAAATTCAGAAATCCTAGCAAAGTCTTGGCTTAGCCGAATTGGGATGACCGGAAAAAAATCTTTCGAATGCTCGAAGAGAACATGTAAATATATTTCATAATTTTTTTTTTTTTTTAATCCGAATGAAAGATCATCGCAATTGAAATGGCACGACAGAAAATCTTGAATTGATAATAGTGAAACGCTGAATTTGGATTCAGAAGTAAATTAATTTCCATAATTTTTAATTAATGAATCAGCTGTCTTCGTTTCACAAGTGCGTTGGTCGCCTTTTTTTTTAGTCCCAAGTTTTCAAATATCAGCGGATTGACCGGAATTTAGATTTTTTTCCCTCATTTTCAAGTTTCAAATGATTTTTATAAAATACAAGCAGAGAAAAATGCAACACTTTTAACGAGTTATGAGGCTTAATTCAACCGTTAAATTATCTTTGGCGCGTCATTTTAATTGCGGCAGTTTCTCTCGCAGTCACTTTCTCATGAAAACCTTTTTTTTCTTATTCGACATTATTTTTTGCTTGAATGATTTCAAGAAAATAGGTGGAGCCGATAAAGTGACGTGATAAATGATGATGAGCAAAGGTTATTTCACTGTTGATACTTGAAAACTCAAGCGTGACGCGACTTTCTTGAAGTTACGGCTGAGATTTCCGATTCAGTAGCCGATGAATATATTTATTCTAAAAAGAAAATATGACTGCAAACTTTTATTTAGTATAAATAGACGCACTGCTTTGAAAATGACTTTTACAAAGGAACCCTATTTTTGGCTCAACTAGCACACTTTTTAGCCAGTTTACGCCTCGCTTAAGGCTCGGAGACGTCTGGAATTTTAAATCCTCTCATTTACGGATTTGTGACAAATGCTCGTCTAGACAGTAATTTTTTTTTCTTTCTTTCTCAGTTTTATTTGTTGAAGAAGTGTGGGAAAATGAAGTGGTGTTCGGCTGCAGGAATTTTAGCAGTTTTTGTGTGGCTAAGTATTTTGGAGGAAGAGTCGGTGGACGCTAATCCTTTGGCTAATCCTGTGGCTGAGGCAAATCCTGATCCACTGGCTTTACCTGGAAGCAGCAGTGGAAGTGGGAAAGGAAAGTGAGTTTTTCAAATGGTTTATTTTTCTTTAGTTGCTTAAATTCCAACTGTCAACCTGATCCAGGCAGAAAAATAAAAAGGACGAGTCAAATTGTATTAATTCATCTGGAAGAATAATTACAGAGTGTTTTTTTCTTTAATCATTTTCCGGGGTTCTAACAGCAAAAGTACTGCATTAAATTTTTCAAAGACCGAAACTATTGCCTGCGAGTTTAAAACTAAAAATTATTCCTTTGACTGAAATAATTTATCAAACTTCATGGTTCAAATTTGTTGGATGCAGCTGATTTTTTAATTATAGACGAACATCTCTATTGAAATTGGCTCGATAATTTTTTATCGATAATTGTGCGAGTTTTTCCGAAAATTGTCGAATATTTTTAAACAAAGAAATATTTGATGTAAGTTTCAGAAAACTTAGTTCTGTTTACTTAGAATGCTGGGCTTACTGAGCTTCGTCAATTTTTTTGAGTCAAAAGAATTTGAATGCGAATAATTATTTTCAACTCTGTTATCACGAAGAATCTTATTAATTATCATATAGATTTTGTTTCGAGTAACGTAACACGTTCCGAAAAAATCCGGCCTATATTATTCTTGGAAATTTATATGATTGTCTTAGGGATTTTCTAAAATATGTTGATTGCTGGTCATACAGGAATTTTTTTCATGTCTGCTGTAATTTTATTTCAGGAAACATTATCACAAACACCATCATCATCATTACCACAAACATGTTCACAAGCATAAGCATGGACATAAACATAAACACAAGAAGAAGAAAAAGAAGCCTATGAGTAGCAGTTCAGGAAGTTCTTCAGGGTGAGTGTTGCCACTGTAATATTGCGACAACATTTTAAAGTCGTCCAAAACTCATGTAACCTTCTTTGTTTGGCAGAAAAAAGAGGTCTTTCGTGGATTTACCCCAATTGTATCCAGCGATACAAAAGAAAAGGTTGAAGAAACCTGTGGGGAAGGACTCAGAAAATGATGTGAAATCCCCGGATTTTCCGTCGTCGCAGTCCAGCGAAGCAGATTACGTGGAAATCCCAGCTTCTCCGACGTCTGTGGCCCAGTTGGACGCGGACGCGGGTGCGGATGAAGAAGCGACACCTATCGGAGAGAAACAGAAACGCAGACGCAAAGGACGCGCAGGGGACGCACCTGAAGTTTATCAATATGCAACAGGACGGCATCCAGTGGTGCTTCCGGGTGGGATAATTTACAGGCACTCTTCCTCCAGTTCTCTCAATGATACACCAGCTTCTGGTTGATGAAACAATGGTCTGTTGCATCTAACAGAAGATAAATTTTGTATGGGTCCCTTTTCAATAGACATAATGCATAACTGCATTTCTTTAAAAATATTGTAGCTTTTTTATGACAGTTTTTTTTTTCTGGTCCCAATAGCTTTGTTGTAAAAAATTTAATATTCCCTTAGCTAATGCTATTAATGCTATTAATGTATTAATGCTTTGAATTTGATGTGACTTCTGGATTGCTTATACTGAGAACAAACAAATGCATAGTACATTACTATATAATATAACTAATTAAAGCTACATGATCTCTTCTCAAGCCATCTCCAATTTTGGTGATAAAATTGCTGATTGTTTATTGCAAATTTTGAGAGAGTAGCATCAGATATCCAATGCAGTATTTTTTTCATTCCTGATATATTAAGGCATGTTGACATTATTAGCAAGGTTGGTATGACTGTACCACATAAGTCAATCATTGATTTAATTTTCTTACAAACTGTATAATTTTCTAAATATTTGATTATCTGTGGTGAGGTTCTGGTTATTTATGGACAATGGATACTTTCAATTTACTGTAATTAGATTCAATTGCTTTTTCAGTTTAAGGAGAACTTTACAAGGAAGGTTCTTCAAATAAGATGCACCCTGTTGAATTTTATATCGGTTGGAATATAATCTTTTGAAATTTTCCCTTACATAAACCCCTGAAGAAAGGAAGGTATCTCACCGTTTAAATTTTAACTTTTCTTTTGCGAAAAAAGAAAATGATGGCGTTTGTTTCNATTTTATATCGGTTGGAATATAATCTTTTGAAATTTTCCCTTACATAAACCCCTGAAGAAAGGAAGGTATCTCACCGTTTAAATTTTAACTTTTCTTTTGCGAAAAAAGAAAATGATGGCGTTTGTTTCAATATATATGCTGTACAAATATTTATGTTTTGTGGATGAATAAACCAGCCGCTGATAATTTGCCCTCGACTGAATACTTGATTTTAGGATGAAATTTGGCACGTTTTTAAAATAAATCTCGCAGAGTTATGTTTTTCAAGGAGCCAAATACAAAGGATGCCTATATAATAAATCCCAAATCAACAGACTTGATGCTGCCGGACTCCATCACCCGGGATCCTGTGCCTGGGGGGGCCATTTGCTTTCCTTCAAACAACAGATCCCACGAGAGGATGATCTTGAAGCCTTTTCCTCCTACTCAGGCTTGTGCGACTATACAGTATATATATAGGGAACAACTGGTATATACAGGGATGGACGAAGTGTCGAGCAAAAGAGGATATACGGATTGGAGGAAGGTGGAAAAGGAGAGAATGGGTGGGATCAGAGTCCTATGGGGCAATATAGAGTGCAATGAACACAAGTGTGCAACCACTGTGCCAGCAGCAGCAGGGCTACACATGCGTGCGGCTACACCAGAAGCTGGCCAGGAAAAGTCCCCCTTGCACCCTGCTGCATCGATCCCCCTGAGGCACAGGCGTCATCCCGTGCTGGGTTCTTTCCTCGGGGGTTTCCAAACTTTCATCATGAAATATTCACCAGCTATGATTGATTTTTTCGAAGTGGGGAAAAAAATTTATCAGCTGAGGACGCGGCTGAAATTCTCTTTATAAATAAGATTGCAATAGGAAGCATTGTGAAGCAAATTTGGTCAATATTTCCAAAAATTTCTTGATGCTGAAAAAAAGAAAATGTTTAAAAATACTGCACAACGTTATTCACTCAAATGGCAAAGCTGGGGAAAATTCTGCAGCATAATTGATTCTCTCCAAGTCAGAATTTGAAGGGGTTCAGAAAGTAAAATTGCCTTAAAAGAGTTCACAATAAGTCAGATGATTTGGCTTCATGAGAATATAAGTAAATCAAAGAGAATTATTTCCTCAAAAAATTTTTAGAAATGGTTATTACTGATAGATGTCCTGCTACTTGCCTGAAGATGCATAAACATATTTGGAAAGCATTGAAAATAATTTCCCATATTCGTTAAATTTTGTGGGGTGATGTTTTCAAATTTAGCAACAGAAATGACAAATTTGAGACACATATGTGATAATTTTTTAGAAATTGGAATATTTAATGTGATCTTCCAACCCTTAAAGACTGGTGAAATGAGTTGAAAGGGCAATGAATTTAGGCAAGGGTACATTTGCCAAATTAGTCTCTCATTTCCTTTAAAAAGCATTGAGTTACATTTTTATTCATCTACTCTGTGTGGTACCAAGTGTAATACAACTGGTACCTTGCAATTCAACCTTCCACAATTTGACCATTCTGCAATTGAATGGTCAAATTTCCTTGGAGGTCAACTTTTCAATTTAAACTCTTTCCTGAAATTTGACCTGATTTAGCCTCTTTTCTAGTGTTTTATTTGCTGTTTGCTCTTGATTTTATAGAGTGCCTTGCAATTTCACCCTAGTTTGGCAATGGATTAGGCCATTAGGGTTTAAATTTGAGGTACCAGTTGTAAGCCAAAGGCCTCTCAAAATTCAAGTTATAGAGGGCTGAGTGCAAAAGTCTATGGATGTTATTTATTCTACCTCATCATCAAGGGTATTAAAAGAGGGACAAAACAAAAATCAAACATAAAGAAGGTTCTTTGTCTTTAGAGAGGTTTGATTCAGCAAAGCCAAATGGAATGTTCCTGGTCAATAATATTCAGCAATTAAGAAATAGCTGCTGTGCTTTGGATGGCTTTGTTGAAATTAAGTCTAGCTAACATTCCAAATTCTATACAGTTGAACATCAATAACTCAAACCTCCCTGAGTTTAATTTTGTCAAGCCCCAGTCTAAATTATCTTCAAAAAATACATAAAAACCTCTCTAACTCAAAGGCTTTTCCTCTAAAAGCTTCATCACAAAATTTTCTGAGACCTTTTGGCTATTATTTTCTTAACACAGGAAAGAGAAAAGCATTAAAAAGTAACAGGATGTGTTTTGTAAGGAAGTGAAAAATTATGAACCCTTGCCTCTAATTTTAGCATCCTGTCAATTCATTTAAAAAGCAATTTAACCATTGGATGGCAGATGAGGGTTCTTTTTTGTTGTACAACAGAGTCCAGATTTTTTCTGGGGGTGGAGCATTTCAGTTTAACCCAAGGTCACTGAAATGTGTCCAGGTTGAGAAAGCCTAAGTTTGGAAAAATCTGGGGGGCAATTTTTGTTTTTGTTTTTGGGATTCTCTCATGGAAATCCTATGCCAGGAATTCCAGGAAAAAACACTACCAAGTGATACATTTTTTCTATGTTTCATTCAAAATTTTCTGCAAGATTAGAAAGAATATTAATTTTTTTTTACTTAGGCTTTGGTAAAAAAAAGTAGGATTTTGTAAATTTCCAGTGCTCACTGCTAAGTGGAAAAAAGTTTGCAAAAATATCCTAACTGTGCCTTACAAGTGTTAAGGCCCAGAGGATCACCATTTACAATTTCCCTGCAATTCTCCAATGTCTTCAACAACAGAAATGCTTGTTTCTCCAACTCAAAACCTCCCTTTTAGTATATTTTTGCTGGTCCCTTGAAATTTTACTTATGGAGGGTTCACTGTAGTTTTTACATAAAGGAAAGATAGTTTGACCACCCTCCAGTTTCAATTCCATCAGCTACGCCCTCCAATACATTTCTGTCCATGACTTTTTCTTCTGCTTTGCCCCAGCTGGGGAGTCAGATAGAAACCACTCCCTCTTTCTTGGCGCCTGGTTAGGGGTGTTATCCAAGGCCTCTGGAGTCCTGGAAACACTCTGAAGCTTGCTTGTAGCCGGCCCTGGTGTAAAGGCTGTTGAAGGACTCTAGGTAATGTTTCTGTGATTCTCCCTGGGGTGTTTTCCGCACAAAATGTTTGCTTATTCCAGAGGACATCAAGTTCAGCCAGGCTTTTCTTGTGTTTGATTGCAGGTACCTTGCACCTCTTGGGTCTCCTCACTTCGCTGACGCAGTTGTTAGATTCTCAGAATAGAATGTTTTTTCTTCCAATGATGTGGCGGACAGTCCTGGAAAGAGTTTAGATTAGAGAAATCTTTAGCCAAAGATTTAGGCATCAAACATTTCTATTGATTTCTGGAGAACATCATGGAACAACACCAAGTAGAGTACCAAGAGTCTCATGAACAAAATTTCCCATTGGGACAAGTTCAAGGTGGTGAGTGTGCTTTATTTAATTCTAATGTTTTTAAAAATAATTTTATTTCCTTACATTTTAGCAGGGAATCCAAGAGAAAATGGTTTCTCAGAATTCAGGAAATTATTTGTGGAGAACTTGCACCAGATCATCACATATTGTGCTGTCTATGGTTCCCTTGGGATGTGTGTGGCACTCTTGGGCCCAACTCTGCTTGATCTGGGTAGGCTTTCACCTGGTACCAACATTTTAACAGAACTATTTCTTTCTTAATTTCTAAATAAACCACAAAGAGAATTGAATTCAAAGAATATAAGTGTACATGTGGTAACTTGAAGTATGATCTCATGCAATTTGTCCATATCATCCCAGAATATTTGACAGGCAAATTTGCCTGGAGGTTGACTTGCATTTTGACCTCTACCCTGAAATTTAACCTGCTTCAGCTAATTTCTAGTGTTTTTGTTCTGCTTTCACTTCATTTCATGCAATTTCTCAGAATTTGACCGGTTTGCAATTTTACCCTGTAGCTCAGCAATTGATTAGGGTCAAAATGTGGGATATATAGCACCTGTAATTTCAATCCAGTAATTAATGAAGTCTAAAATTGTTGCACTGCTGTTACAATATTGATATTTCCTTATTCAGTTGGATTGTTTTTATTAAAAAAAAACAGGCTGCTTCACATCCTATGCCTCAGTCAGCACTTTAAGCTGGATAGTGTTTTCCCAGGGACTCTTCTCAGTTGTGGGGTCCAGATTTGCCAGCACGTTGGTGAAATGGTGAGTTTGCACCATATTTGTATGTTTGAGAAGTGCTGCTGAGCAAAGATTTTTAGAATTCCATGTAATGAGGAAAATTCATCTTTTTCAGGTCCTCCCCACATTTTACGCTTTTGGGCTCCACCACTATGCTGGCCTTGACAATTGCAGTTGTTCCATTATGCACACATATTTTGGCTCTGGTGGTGGTCATTGCTGTCATGGGCTTTTTCATGGGCACTGTGGATGTGGTGTCCAATGTGTGCATGATGCAACTTTTTGATAAAAAAGTTGGCCCCTTTCTCCAGGTATGACAAACATTTAATCTCTTCTCTGAAAACTTAAGAAGGCCTTTTTTATAAATTGGAAATGATTTTCTGATGTGCATTGGCATATATTTTTCCAACAGTGTTTGCATTTTTGCTATGGGCTGGGAGCTTTCTTGTCTCCCTTGGTGGTGGAGCCATTTCTTCTACGGAATGGCTGTCCTGAGAAGCACAACAACCCTTACCATAAAGCTGCTCATAGTGAAGGACATGACTCCACTATGCATTCTGTCAATGCATCAGAACACATCAGCAACCACAGCAGCTTCAACAACACAGAGTCTTATGAGGATTCTGAAGCAGATTTGGAGCATGCTTATTGGAGCATGGCTGTGATTCAGGTCAGCATTTTTCTTTGATTCCCTGATGAGCATAAATATGTAGAACCTTTGCTTTACAGCCACAAACTGTTCCAGGGAGACAGTTGTTATGAACAGGCCAATTGTTGAGTGGAACCCTATTTTGCATATACAAGTATATAGGGCTACATTCCACATGAATTAAACAGTTTCCAAACCTAAACTGTGCATAAAGATGAACTCTGAATATTTTATTGAATATTTTCTGGGTTTAAGCTCTTTTCAGAATTTTAGGACATTGCTGACAACTGCTGCACAATAAAAAAATTAGGAAAAGAATGTTGCATACATTTTGATGTGTTCTTTTGAAAGGAGTTAGCTCAATAAAATACTTTTTATAGTTTAAAACTGTAAAAATAAACTGTAAACTATATTTACTGTTTAAAACTGTGGGTTTCATTGTAAGTTTTTTATGAAATTTTCAAAATTTTGGAAATATTTTCCCTGTATCATATAACTGAGTTGACAACTTGAATTCACTCTGCAAATCCTGCCTAATAAAACACTTGCTTTTTAGTTCAAGGAAAAAAATCTGCAACAAGAAGCAAAAATCCAAAACAATCTTCATAAAAATAAGCGGTTTCAATTATCTGAAATTTCTTTGCATTTTTATTGCTTAATTTTGGTGTAAAAAGGTTAAAATTGGTTCTTGCACTTGTTAAGAAGGGGTTTTTAATGTCCAGTGCTGGGTTACTTGCTGAGTAAATTCCACTGTCCACTGCATTTTATACAAATTGATTACAATTCAATGAAAAATACTATCAAAATCCATAAGAACCCAACATCTATCCATTTAAAATTTTTTGGAATTCAGTAAGCATTTACTCCTGATCTGGATAGTGCGAATGGTAATCACAATTTTGAGATAAATGGATACCCAAGTCTACAATTCAAAATCTTTCAAACTATTTTGGCTTCAATATTTCGTCCAGAAGGGCTTTTCCCGTATTTTGAATATTTTCTTCAACTGCAGCCGTTAGGACTTCGTGCGCAGCAATTGAAACTTGAACTCAAATGTGAAAAATATCGAAATTTGTAAGATTATATGTATTTCAAATTTGAGCGCGACTCTATTTGGAAAAATGTTATTGAAAAGATTTTTCAATCCTTTGCGAAACACGTGGAAATCCAAATATAAGTCCTGTACAGTAATGAGTATGAATAAAAAATACAGATATGACAGTAAAATTCCTATTTCTGATCAAAATGATTGGGCGCAATTTTAATTTTTTATAAAACCAGTCTGTTTTATCGATGATTTCAACAGTGATCAGAAAATTATGTATCATACAATATATATTTATGCCTTCCTTTAGTTAATTCAACGGATACCTTCGAAATAATTTTTCCATCGCCCTGAAAGCGTCCAAAAAAAAAAAAGAGAGGAACTTAAAGTAAAGCCTCCAAAATGAATATCAATGTTCTGAATTTTAACTGACCGGGTTTTCGATATAATATTCTGAAAAATTTTTTGAAAGAGTTCTTATTCAAAGGCAATTTTGTAAAGATTGCAACTTTCTGATGCTTAAATTGGCTTCATCCCTCAGATTCCAACGATTGTTCTGACGGCGAGCTTGTTGCTAAGAAGAAAACTGTCGGGCATGGATGACAGTCACGAAGCAGACCTCGTTTACGAGATGATGAACAAAGGGTTCGAGGTGATTACACTACTGCTGATGATTCTATTTCATTGATTCAATATATTTTAATGAATCTAAAAAAGCAACGATTTTAATAGATCAAAGGGATCATCAACAAATGGCGAGACCCGGACGCGCACTCGGAATTCGCTCGAGGCAGCGCGACGGAGATTCAAACCCGGATGGTGACTTATTTGGCCTCATCAATGACCTTTCTTGCTGACGGATTGCAGGTCAGTCTAATCTCATTCGAGAATATGCGTCAATTATCCGGTAATGATGCGGGAATTATGATTGATTTCCAGGCAGTTTTCGGCTCTTACATTTACACGTTCGCGGTGATGTATGTGCAAGGAATGGACGCAGCGAACGGAGCACATTTGACTGCGTCTTTCTGGGGCATGTTTGCCTTTGGCAGGTTTTTGTCAATCGGTCTGGCCACAAAACTGGGCCCTGCGACCATTTTACTACTCAATACGGTCAGTAGAATACACTTGCGAAATTTCACAGGATGACAATGAATATTTTTCGAGTTTTACTCACTGGAATTTGACGAAGTTAAACTGAATTGTTTTTGCAGATGACAGATCCTGAATTTTAACCCTTGTGCGGCAAAGTCGGACTATTTTTACGAAATTTTGTGGCACCTCAGAGAGGTTTGGAAAAAATTGATAACAGGTGGTCAAGGGTGAAGTCGGGAAAAATCCCTATGCTTTTTTCTCTGAACACAGAAAAATTTTGCCGGCAAAAAAAAAACTTCTGTTAGGCTACCTGCTTTTCAGATTAATCCTGACTTTGCCTCAGCCCACCTGGAATGGTTTTGGTGACCTTCCCAAAAGTGAAAATGTGGGAGGATTAAAAAATAATCCGACTCTGCCCCACTATGGGAAAGAACCCTCCGCTGTCCAAGGGTTAAGTGCAGAATTTCGAATTTTGAGGGGTTTCAAATGGTAGGCCGTAAAGTTCATGATTATTTCACCAAAAAAGCAATTCATAACTGATAGATTTCTCCAGAATATAAGGAGAGAAGTCCAGTCAAACTACAGTAAAATCTTGTTACAACAAATACCATTACAACAAATTTTCCAGTACTGTATACAAAATGCAAAAAGTTGAACAAAAATTCACAGGTACATAGAATTTATGAGATTTCGATGTATTCAACCTTCCATCATGATTCTAATAACCATTTACAGTTGAACCTTTCAAAATCAAATTTCATGGGACCAGCAAAAATATTTGACTAGGGGAGGTTTGGAGTTAAGAAATAAGCATTTTTGTCATGGGAAACAGAAACATTGCCAGAAATTCAAACTGATAATATTCTGGGCTTTAAATTGCTTCTTGAATGAGTTGGCAGGATGCTGAACTTGGACACATCAAGGGTTCATCTGCTCAAATGTTCTTTCACTTTGGTTCAAAATGCATCAAATTCCATTTTTTTGTTGATTTTCTTTTTCCTGTGTCAAGGAAATTACAGGCAACAGGCCTCAGAAAATTCAAGTTAGTGAGGTTTGACTTGTCAAGGTTCAACTGTATTTCAAATGCATTGACCAAAACTGTAAAATTGAGGCCTCCATTTTCTATTCTGAATAAATATTTTAAAATAAAGAGTACTGTACAGTGTTTCCTTGATCAATGCCAAGATTATTCATGCATGTTTAGAAAATGTTTCTAAGAAATATTTGTTGACTTTGTGGATATTTATGTTTATTTATATTTAAAATTATGATTCACGTGCATTTTGTGTTGAAAGGAAGGGGCAGCCAACTTGAGAAAATCTAACTGGAAAAATAATAGATGTGAGAAATGCCCGCAGAGAGAAAAAATGTATGCATCTGTTGAAGAAAAACAACGTTCCCCAGCAAGGGAAGAAAAAGCAACGGTCCCCAGAATTGAGAAAACAAATTCAAAAGGAAAATTTTCTTCCTTTTAACTCACTAGTTGTAAAGATTTATTTTCCTGTGGGGGGGGGGAGAGCGGTTTGTCAACTGTTTTGGCAGTTGGATGATGTGAAAAAGACAGTGCTGATTATTTTTGAAAAAGGGAGAAACATGTGGTGCCTGCAAATAAAAAAATAATAATCCCTTCACTTAACTATACAGTAGTTACAAAACTTGAAACACTATGTACCCTTACAAAGAACCAGTGAGAAATAAAAACTTCATTTCTGAAAGTTGCAGCACATATTGGCAAAGTGCAAACCTTTTTGTCCATTTGAGCATTGTAAATCCTGAATCAAAACTTGAAACACTATGTACCCTTACAAAGAACCAGTGAGAAATAAAAACTTCATTTCTGAAAGTTGCAGCACATATTGGCAAAGTGCAAACCTTTTTGTCCATTTGAGCATTGTAAATCCTGAAGGAAAATTAAAGGAAATATTTGCGATGCATCTTTCAGTTTATTAAAATTTGGCTTTTTCAAGCAAATCAATCAGCTTCAATGTTTTACTATCTGTTCTCTGTCATAACAAGGTTTCATTTTCATTTAATTTTACACTTCTCAGCATTTTTCTTTGGCAAGAGATTTTAAAATAGCACAAATTCCTATCAAAAAATGAATAACTGCTTTGTATCTCGAGACAACTCATACCGGTTTCAGCATGGAAAGGGCAATAAAAACTTTTTTGCGGATTTTCCACGACTTAGGAAAATAAATACTGCATGTTTGTTTTCCACTTTCTAGTGAGTTTGAATGCAATATATTACAGCATTGGAATCCCGTTTTTTAATTCTTGAAAGTTCACAGTTACAATTTTGTTTATTCGAATCATTTACGAAAATTGGACATATCCGAAATTGAGTAAATATAAATAAAAAACTGGAGGTCTCAATGATGTCATGGGCAATAGTGGTAATGCATTACGTGCACGTCTTTTTTGGATATTAAAACTGTTTATTTTGGTCAAAGGTGCATCTATATTGCAGGAAGCTTGGGTTTCAAAAAATTGATGCCAGCCAATCATACAGTAGTTCTGTGATGATGAAGAAATGTATGGCTTTTTTTTTTCAGTCGGGAACATTGCTGTCAATCGCCTTGCTGGTGTTTTTCCCGCACAATCATGCGGCATTTTACATCGGGGCCAGTTGCTTCGGCCTGTTTTTGAGCAGCTCTTTTCCGACAATAACTTCCCTAGCTGGGACTTACATAAATATGAATCGTG